TTGAACCAATTGCCAACCTTCGCTCACTGTATCCACTCTGCTTTTCGTCAACAACCTTCCCCGTCTGCTGTTGTCTCCGCCACCCTCGAATGACAGAACTCCATCGCTCTCTATCAGCGAGAGGTTGAGATGCTGCAAGCAAGGTGCAACAACGCCAACACGCAACAGTCAACAACACCAGCGACTGCACAGCAGGTTGGATTGGTTTGAACATTGTGAGCGTGAGGTCTGTCGCATCACTGTCAATGTTGATCGCATGTACCCAAGCCGCCTATGCACACACTCACTCACTCACTCACACGCACATACACGCACGCACTCCACATATTGTGCAGTCGTCTTCGCTGCAGCACGAGGTCGATCGCCTGCGCATCAATAACGAGCAGGAACACCAGGTGCGCGAAGCGCTCGTTGTTGTTCTTGTTTTTGTTCTTGTTTCTTGTTTCTTGTTTCTTGTTGTTGTTGTTGTTGTTGTTGTTGTTGTTGTTGTTGTTGTTGTTGTTGTTGTTGTTGTTGTTGTTGTTGTTGTTGTTGTTTCTTCTTCTTCTTGTTGTTGTTGTTGTTGTTGTTGTTGTTGTTGTTGTTGTTGTTGTTGTTGTTGTTGTTGTTGTTGTTGCTGTTCTTGTTGCTGTTCTTGTTCTTGTTGTATTGCTTCGCTGACATGAGCTCGCCTGATCATCACACGCACGTGTGTCCGCAATCCTGACGTGTCTGCGTACACGCGCATCCACAGCGGGCAGAGGTGCTGGCGCTGAAAGTGAAGCAGACGGAAGACTTGCTCGGTAAGGGCGGCTCACACACGGCCGGTGTAGACTCCTGGTAATCGTTTTGTTGTTGTCAATAGGAGTTTGTTCTCATGTATGTATGACTGACGATGTGCATGTGTGTGTGTGTGTGCGCGCGCATGTGCGTGCAGCCTCCACGGAAGAGAGGTGTCAGCAGCTCGATGGAAAGTTGCAGGAAGTCATCAACGACAACCTATCCCTCAAGGTTGGTACAGTGGTATTGTCGTGACGATGGTGTTGTTCTGACCGCACTCGCATGACCTCTGCATCCTTGCTCAACACATGCGCAACACACTCACGCACCCATACACACATTCAAATCACTCCCTCGAACACACATTTACATTCAACACCCTCCCTCATTCACGTGCGCAGGAGAAGGAAGCGGAACTTCTGCAGACCATCGCATCGCGCATGCACTTGGACGAAGCAACGAAACTCAGGTGCGGGGCGCGTGCTGCTGCCGTGTGACCTGGTGGTGGTGACGTTTGTACCCATAGACGCTGTGCATGTGTTTGCTGATGATTGCATGATGTCACGACTTTGGTGTCATGCCGCATGCCGCGATGCAGAGAGGAACTCAAACAGCTCAAGGAGTACAAACACAAGACAGAGGCAGAGGTGCGTGCACGTGTGCGAATGCTGTTGACTGTGGAGGCCGTGCTGCTCTTGCTCACACCGACGGCGTCTTACCTGCAGACACTTGCGTGCCCCTGTTCCTTGTCTCTGCTCTACGCTTCCTCTTCTCACTCTTCATGCACACACACATGTAACCAACAAACAAACACAAACACGCACAACGCAACGCGGGCGCAGATTACGGTCTTAAAACGCACAGCAGACATTGCAGTGACACAGGCGGACACAGCGCGGCGCCTAGCACAAACCAAAGACGAGGTGGGTGAACGATTAGAACTATTGGTGAATTGGTGGCAGTTGTCGTGTTTGTGGCTGTTGTGATCATAAGCTGGTGAAACGGTGAACTGTGTGGTTCTGTGCCGAATTGACTGTATTTGCAGTTGCTGACGCTAAGTTGCACGAATGCAAACACGTGTTGGGCAGGAACTGCACGCTCTGCGGACGCAATTGATTGAACTTCAAGTTGAAGACGACGAGCGATTGCAGATTGGACGACTGAGCCACCAGCTCCTCGCAGCGCAGGTGACGCAGCACACGCATGCACAAACAAACGCGCGCGCACGCGCATGCAAATCACGCACACACACATGCAAAATCACGCACACACACATGCAAAACAAGCAACATGTATCCGCATACACACAACAACAACAACAACAACAACAACAACAACAACAACAACAACAACAACAACAACCATGGTTGTCGTGACCACCACCGCATTCCAATGTTCCTTTGCGTGTACAGATGGCCGAAGCAGATGCTGTTCGCCGCTTGGATGCCGAGAAGCGAAAATCACTGGCGCAGGAGCGGGAAATCAAGCAACTGCAGGTGGACGTGGAACAGAAACATACGGCTCTCATTGAGCAGTCACAAGGTGTCGTGGCACGGGTGGGGATGTGCATGCGTGAATGTGAGGGAAGATGGGATGATTGCGCGTGCGGATGTGTGTACATGCGTGCGTGCTTGGCACAGCTCTAACAACACAATCACGTCGCTGTCAAGTGGTGTTTGGCTTTATTCCCTCATCCATGCGTTTGCACGTGTGCTTGCGTGTGCACCAGTGTCACGGCAGCGGCTGAGCCACCTCAACGCGTCTCTATCGGCGCTGCGCACGCAATATGCTGGGGCTGTCACGCTGCACCAGCAAGAGCAAGCTGTGCAGGTGGGTCCAACCAACACGCACTCGCTGTCTGTCGCTCGGTGTGCGGCTTGTTTGATGTGAAGCCATGCTCTGCAACCGCACACTGTGCTCGCATCATATCTCAACGCTGCACACACGCACACACACACTCACGCATGTATGCGTGTACAAACACGCATCCTCTCACAAACACACACACACCCATATACACGTTCATACGACATGCACGTGCACATTTACACACCCACACACTCACTCACACGTTCACACACACACACACACACGCAACAGGCGCTGCAAGATGTGCTTGAGACGAAGCGGCGGCTTGAGGACGAGGTTGCAGAGGCAAAGCGCCAGCGCGAAGAGGCGCAGTCACACGTGGACGCACTGCGCATTCAGCAGCAGCACTTGCAGGAGACAATGGCGGCGCTTGGCGACACAAAGGCAATGACGCTGCAGGCAAACGAGTGGCAGCAGCGGCTCACGCGCGCGCGGTTGCAGACTCTTCAGCTCCAACGGCGCGTGCACGACTTGGAGGGCGAAGTGGACCATTTGTCCCGCGCTGCTGAGACGAGCCGTCACCGGCAGGCGCAGCTGGAGGCTGAGGCTGTCGAAATGACGCAATCCTTCGAGCAGCGAGAGGTACGGGGTGCCCTATGTTGTTTGTTCTTCGTGTGGTTCTTTGTGTGCGTGTGTGTGTGTGTGTGCGTTGTTGTTGTTTTTTTTTTTTTTTGGTAGTTCGTGCATGTATTGGTGTGTCTCACAGCAACTGTGCCATTTTTTATGCTCATCACATTGTCGTTGACTGTAGACGGCCTGGCTGAAGCGCGAGGAACAGCTCGAAAAGTGGGTTTGAGCACCATCTTGCGCCCAACACACACATGCACACACATGCACACACATAAGCGCACACACACATATATTCACACTGCTGTTGCACTCAACACAACTGCATGTGTGGCAGGTGGCTGTCTGAGCTCGATCACCGCATGCGGCAGCAAACGGTGCAGGTGGAGGCGAGACGCCGCGATGATGAGAACTTCCTCCCAGGTGTGGCATGTTGTTGATGGTCGTGGTGTGATGATTGCGATGACGCTATGATGGCGAGGGGTACCAATGGGTCGCTTTCGCGATACGGACTGTGTTGTTCACCAAGCATGCAGCTGCAGTCTTTCTTTACTTGCTCACACCACGTTACATTACCACGCACACACGCCACTCCGCCAACCTGTCTCTCATTTCCTTTCGCTTGTCTCCGTACAACGCCATCAGCGAGCGAGTGGCCGATTGGACAGCAGCTCTCGCACGCCATCGAATCAATCAAGCGACTGCTGCAGCAGAGGAGTGATCTTCGTGATGAAACCAAACGCCTCGAACACCGCGTGCAGGTGCGCTATCGTTACGACCTGCGCTGTGTGCTTGGCTTGTGTTGGTGTTATTTTGTGTCTTTCTATGTATGCCGTTGCAAGTGTATTCCACGTATCTGTGTTGACACCCTTCCCTCACCCTTCCTTCAACCATCTCCAAACCACCCGCAATGCCTCCGTTGCCCCACTGCGATCAGGATCAGATTGTTGAGTTGGCGGAGGCGAATGCGGCCACGCGGCGGGCCGAGGCCGCAGCAAAGACAACGCCCCACACAGGTCAGAGCTGTGGTCGACACGTGTGTGCGTGTGTGTGTGTGTGTGTGTGTGTGTGTGTGTGTGTGTGTGTGTGTGTGATGCACATGACCGAAGCCCCTTCGATTTGTTTCGCTACTGTGCATGAAGCGACAAAACCCAATCTCATGAACCGTCCGCTGATGCATGCATTTTCACGCCCGTTACTTTTCAGCAGGAGCGAACCAACACGATGCTGACGATGACGACAACGGGGATGGCGGTGGCGATGCGCTTGAGGACGCATCTCTCCGCTACCAGCTCGATCGCGTCATCAAAGTCTCCCAGCAGGTCGGCCGCACATGCTATTGCCGTCGACACTCGTTTTGAATGGATTGGATTGCGCTTCGTGTTTGTGCACCATCGCACACGCTTGTTTGGAGTGTGTGTATGCTTGTGTGTTGTGTGTATGTGGGAGTGTATGTGTATGTGTGTGTGTGTATTCTTCAGATTCACCCATGTGAACACTCTCCATGATGTACTGCAGACCATTGCAAGCCTCCAAAACATGTTAGACACGCGCGAGAAAGCGCTCGATGAGGCACACGCACAACTTGACGAGCAGCACCAGCGCCATGAAGCAGGTGATGTCCAAGCATGGTCTGTGTGTGTATGTGTGTGTGTGTGTGTGGCTGCCTTCCAACCCACAATTGTTTGTCTACACCATCCTTGATCTTGGCTCCACCAAACCAACAGAGAAGCGAGAATGGGAAGAAACGAAGAAGGAGCTGGAGCACCGTCTACAGCTGCAAAACGTGAGACGTTCAAACGTGTAACCGACCACCCTCGGTCATGCGTTCGTTTGCTGCCTTGGCGCCTTGTCGTCCATTCATCCATCTATCCTTTTGCTTCCTTCCTTTGTCCTTGCTCGCCTTTTCATGTCAACGAGCTTGCGCTGCCACCAGGACAGTAACTCACGCCCTGCGTCCCCCCCCCCCCACACACACACACACACAAAATCACGTCACGTTCACGTCACGTCCACCACCACAACCCCCTTGGTCATCTTCGCCATTCACAGGCGAACACGGCAGCGCCGCCACGAAGACCAACAGCAATGACAGCGCGAGGAGGAGATGCAATGCAGGTCGTTGATGAGATGCGCGCACACGTGCGGCGGCTTGAGACGGACAATGAACTGTTGCGACAGGACGCGCGCAGAGCACAGGAGCGATTGGCGACAAAGGAGAAGGATCTGCTTGCCATCAAGGTGCGTGGCCAACACGCAGGTCGATGTGGTGATGTGGTGACATGTGATGGCTGCGTGTTTGTTGTTTTGTTAGTTATTTAGTTCGATTGTTCGTCTTGTTGCAGTGTTCGCGCCTGGAGCTGTTCTGTCGTGTCTGACATGCACTCACAGGTACACACGCACGCAACACACGATTGCAGCGTGAGCTTGTTGGGAGCCTGCAGGAGTTGGAGGCCGAATTCCGCGGAGTTGTTGAAGAACGCGATGCTTTGGAGGAACAACTCAACGCCACAAAGGCGAAGCTACAAGAGGTGCGTGCCATATGTGCTTGATTGCTTTTCACTCATGTGGTGGTCCATGTTTGTATTACCGTGTGAGTTTGCCGCTGGATTGATTGTGATTGAAGAAACGCACTCACATACAACAACAACAACAACTTGAACAACAACAACAACAACAACAACAACAACAACAACAACAACAACAACAACAACAACAACAACAACAACAACAACAACAACAACACGCGCGTGCTGCATGCAGGCTGAGGACGGGTTGCGTGCGCAGCAGCGGGAGGCCATGTCCCTGCGTCAGAGCCACGAGGAAGAGGCGGCAGTGATGCGATCGGCACTCGAGCGCTCGCAGAAGTACATCGATGCCCTCTCGCAGCCAGGATCACCCAAGGTGGTGACTCAACATGGTCGTGGTGGTCGTGGTGGTCGTGGTGTTTGAACGAGGTGGATGTTATTGCTCTGGAAGTGCACACAGCCGGTGAGCCTTGCGTTGCAACACATTTCGGCACGCTCCTTCTACGTCATCGTCACCCCTCGTCTTCGGCAGATTTGACTGCTGACGTTCCCGCGTGCAATGGCGCTGTGCTGTTTGTTTGTTGCCTTCCACTGCTCAGGTGACGATGGAAACGCTCCGAAAACGGCTCGCCCGCAAGACAGCCGAAGTCAAACGCGTGAGTGACACGGTGTACTGTGGCCTTGACCTGTGCTTGTGTGTGCTCTTGTTGCGCGGGCTGATGGTGGCAATGACCGGTGATGGCAGTGGTGGTGACCTGCTACAGTGGTGTCCCTGCTTTGCTGGGCTGGTGATTGCGCACAGCCTCACATGCACGTGCTCACATGGGTGCGCTTGCACATGTGCACATGTGCGCAGCTGCAATATGTGCTGGTTGAGGTGAAGAAGCCCGGAGGCGATGAGGCAGCCCTGACTGACGGTGAGTGGGTGGTGGACTCGCACCCGTGCACGCGCCGTCGTCGTGTCGTGTCTGTAGCACTGCACGTTTTTGTGCTGTGCATATTAGTGTTGGCATGTGAACATGCGTGCATTCATACCCGCGTACATTTATACACATGTGTGCTCCTCACTCACACTCACACACACACACACACAACAACAACAACAACAACAACAAACAAACAAACAAACAAACAAACAAACAAACAAACAAACAAACAAACAAACAAACAAACAAACAAACACGTGTCATTTTGCTGCTGCTTGCGTGGTTCATCTTGCCAGCACTCAAAGTTCCGTTTATGGAGAAAGCGCGAGCACTGGAGCAGGAGCGAGACGAGCTGAAGGAAGAGCTGGCGACACTCAAGTCGCGCGCAGCCAAGGCCGAGGCAAATGCCTCCACATTCAAGACCCAGGCAGAGGTGGGGGATAGGCAGGCATTGAGTGAGGGGAGAGGCGTTTTCTGCCTGCTTGTCGATGTGTGATTTTATGTGTGTGTGTGTGTGAATGTGTAAGCGCGCAAGCGAATGTGTTTGCCCCTTCAACACCTTGCGTCCGAAAACAGTACGTGCATGCACTTCTTGTTGATATGCGTGCGTTGTCGCACGTCACGATCGTGGCAGTACAGTCCACGCCTTCACACCGCCGTTGCCTTTGTGCGGGCTTTCCTGCATGCACGGCCACAGGATCTGCAATCTCAACTTGAAACGCACCGGAAGGAGAGCTCGGGTGCAGTTGCGCTGTCCGCCAAATTCGAACGCGATCTCAAGGTGACGGGTTTGTTCGATTTTGTCGTTACCGTGCTTTGTGCTTGGTGTGACTGAGCTTGTGTCGTGCATACGCGTGCATGTGTGTGTGCATGTGTGTGTGCATGTGTGTGTGTGTGCACATGTTTGTGTTGTATGCGTGTGTTTGCGTGAACATGTTTGTGTTGTATGCGTGTGTTTGCGTGTGCATGTTTGTGTTGTATGTGTGTGTATGTGTATGGATGTGTGTGTGTGTGTCACAAGACCCTTCAACATAACGCGTCCCCATGCTGGTGTCTGCAGAGAACGAAAGGCGAGCTCGAGGCATCAAGGAAACGGTGTCAGGTACGATGCTTGCAGGCACACGTGAAGGAAGACATGCGGATGGTGCCATGTTAATGACAGCACGCCCTGACTTGCTCACTTCTCGTGCATATGTTGTGTATGTGTGTACGTGTGTGTGTGTGTGTGTGCCTGTGTAGGCGCTGGAGCAGCAGCTCAAATCTGTTCGCGAGCAAGCGAGAGAAACGCGTGCGCAGACGGTGGCCAAAGGTGAGAACTCCATACGATTCGCCACTCCTCTCACCAATCGCCAATATTTGCACCTGCACTCACTTCCACATCCATGACATTCACGTGATGCGTGTGTCTGTCTGTGTGCGTGTGTCTGTCTGTGTCTGTGTGTAGCGCCCACATCGGCCCGCGATGATTCAAGAAAACCGCACGTCTCGCGTGACCTCCAGGTCCGGCATGCGTGTACCGTGTGTGTGTGTATCTGTGTGTCTGTGTCTGTGTGTGTGTGTGTGTGTGTGTGCGTGTGTGTGTGCGTGGTTTCACCCTAATGTGCTTCAGTCTTCGCTTCCGCGTTTTGCTGAAATCGCGCTGTTGTCTCTGCACATGTCAACAGGAACCTTCATCGGTGAAGTGGGAAGCAGACAAGAAACTTCAGAAACGGTGAGAACCACCGCCTTCAGTTTGTTTCCCCTCCGTTTGCTGCTTCATGCGCATCTGCCATATCACGATGACACGCAAGCCATCAACAACATTGGGGGATTTTCAAGCAAGCAAGCTGTTTCATTGCCATTTATATCACCGTGTGCGTGTGTTTGTCGTTGTTGGCTGCTGCTGTTGTTTGCGCTGCAGGATGGAGAACTTGAAGAGCAAACTTGCGACGAAGGAAGAGGAGTTGCAAGCGGCCAACAGCCAGGTGAGTGCGCAGCGCACAAACCAAACATGATGCAGGAGAGCCAATCATGAACTGCGTGGAAGTACGATGGCTCGCACCACACGGCCGCATTCTTGCTGCCAAAATGACGCAATAACACAATCCATGTAACATAACACGTGTCACGCCCCCCCCCCCCCCAAACTCAAGGTGGCGAATTTGAAGGCGACAATTGAGCGCTTGAAGCGGGAGCGGAACGCGTTGCAGCGGAAAACAAAAGCGCTGGAGGCCGCGAGCGAGGGTAAGCACCCGATGCATGTGTGTGTGTGTGTGCATGTAAGCTTGTGCAGGTTGTACCCTGCAGGTTGCTTCTACTTTCCAGTGTCATGCACGCGGATCCTCACCGCCACTACCGCCACCACCGCCGTGGGGTGTGCAGACCACGCCACGTTGCGGGCGCGCGTCGAGCGGTTACAGGAGGAGAAGACGCAACTCCGCCGCGAACTCGAAGTCGACGCGAACGTGCGCGTGATGGAGCTACAAGCGATTGTCCGGGATTTGGAGGCCAAACTTGCGGATAAAACGTCCACAAGCGGGAAACATGACGACCTCGCCACAGACGGCAAGGTGCGTGCAGTGCAGCCTTGGCTTGGTTGCTTGTTGAGTTGGATGGTTGCTTGCGCGGTTTGCTCCTCGGTTAATTGCTCAGTTGCGTGTTTCTTTGCTTGGATATCATTCATATTTCAAAGTGGAGGTGGTTGCTGCGAGAGTGTTCATGATGAGTCCTTGCCATCGTCGCTGCTTCTGCACACGTGTCCTTCCTGGCAGAAGGGCACGCTGGAGAAGCAAGTCCTTGACCTGAAGGCAGAAAACCTGCAGCTTCAGCTGCAACTTGAACAAGCGCAAGCGGTGGGTGTTTTGTGCGTGTGTGCGCGGATGTGTGTGTGTGGGGGGGGGGTGCGTGTGCGTGTCTGTGCGTGCGTGTCTGTGTGTGCTTGTGTGTCACTTGTGTTACGTGTGCATCGCTGAAGCATTGATCTAGCGCACGCTCACGCAACGCTCTTCACATTGCCGGTGCCATTCAGACGGACGTGTCGGCGCTCAAGGCAGAGCTTGCATCCCTGCGTGAGCAACAGCAGCAACAGCAGCAGTCTGGTGGTGGTGCTGGTGGTGGTGGTGGAAAGGGCGGGAGAACGGCTGTGGAGGCATCGGAGCTGCAGCGCGTTCGAAAACTGAACCGCCAGCTCAGAACAGAGCGTGAGAAGGTGCAACCGACACGCATGCACATGTGGCGAGAGAGAGATGGAGATGGAGATGGAGAGGGTGTGTATGTGCGTGCGTGTGTGTGTATGTGCGTGCGTGCGTGTGTGTGTGTGCAAGATATTGGTTGGTTGGTTGGTTGGTGGCTGCTGTTTATGATAGGCGTTGATGCGACACCTCCTCACGCTCTCGTAATTATTCACGTGCGCTTGCGTGCATGCGTGTACCTGAAACACTGTCGTGCCACAACCACGTGCGTAATTGTGCCAGGCGAATGAGCGTGCACATGAAGCAGACAAGACACGCGAGCGTCTGCAGCAGGAGCTCAACGACTGCCACAGGTTGGGCGTGTGTGCGTGTGTGCGAAAGAGCGTATGTGGGAGTGGGTGTATGTTCATGTGTACGACGGCTGTCAATGTTGCGCCGTGTTTGAATACACATGTACGCTCACGCAGATTTTGCACACACCGACGCGCGCACGTGCACATACCCTCTTCACGCTTAGAAACCAAGAGATGTTGGAAGCGGAGATCCAACAGAAACAGCAGCGCATCGACAAGGTTGATTGATAATCAGCAGTTCATTTGCAGTCGTGCTGATGTCATGTACGAGGGTGTATATGTGTGTTTGCAACGCCGTGTGTGTGTGTGTGTTGGTGCGTTTGAGCTCGTTTCTCCATCCTTCTCCCATCCACTCAATTATCTTCATCTGTCGTTCACACGCTCGTGTACGCTTCCGTGTTGTTGCTTCGACAGCTGCAGGCGTCGCTTGAACGCATGGCAGCGAATGAAGAGCGGCTGCAGTCCAGGTACTGATTGCTGTAACACGTCTCGTGCTCGTGCTGCCAGCCCATGCACAGGCCATGCCAATGCCACTTGCAAGGGCCGCACTACATCATGTGCACAAGCACAAGGCACGAGCCTGCATCACACAACTCAAGGGGTTTTCTTTCTTTCTCACTCACTCACTCACACACGTATACTTTTGCACGATTTCATGCACAGGGCTGCCCTGCCAGCGCAAGCAGAGACGCGGCTGGAGGAACTGGAGGAGGAGAACCGCGAGCTGAGGGCGGAGCTGTCTGCGTTTGACCCGGAGTTCTTCGAAGAAATTGAGACCCTCAAATACGAGCACCAGCAGGCGAAGCAGGAGGTAGCGCGGCTACGTGCCCTCCTCAGCCAACAACAACAACAACAGCAGCAGCAGCAGCAGCTACAAAGCAGCACCCGTCAACAGGGTGTCGTTGACGTTGACGCTGATGATGATGACATTGATGGTGATGATGGTGATGGTGCGCAGAAGGATAAGGGCGAAGAAGAAACGTGAATGTTGTGATGTGACATGACACGATGGAGGACTGATTAGCTGTTGTTTCATACCACCTTTGCTCGTGTTACACTCCCTTTGATGCACATAGAGACTTGCTGTTCTTATCTTCTCCTCTTCTTGTACACACACTTTACACCGTCATGGCAGTGGACTGACTGATGATGAAGCGAGCGAGACAGCAACAAGCGTGTGATATGACATGAGTCGCAACAAGTGAGGAAGCACAACACACACACACACACACACACACACACTCTCTCTCTCTCTCTCTCTCTCTCTCTCTCTCTCTCACCACACACCACCCCTCTTTATGGTGTCGTATTGACATTTTCGAATCTGCCTCACCGACGACAACCGACTTCCCAGCCAGCCACCCATCAGTTGCGACCACACACATCCTCGCACCCCTCCCCACCACATCCTTGCGTCGAATCAGGCAGACGAGTGCAAACATCACACGCGTCTCCACTGCAGTGCATTGGCCGTCCCTAGTCTCAGAGAGAAAGTGCAACAACCATGTCGGCGATTTCCGAAGGCTTCAAACTGTAAGAGAGCCAACATCAGCTGTCACATCAGCAATGTTGCATGCGTCTGGTTGCCAACAAAGATGCGCACGCACTGACTTGCCTTGACTGGCGCTTCCTTGGCTCTTCTTGTTGCTGTTGTATCTTGTCGCTTTGAGCACCTATGGTTTCCAAACTTGATGTCCTTGTTCTGTCGTGGCACACCAACCCCTGTTCTGTCGTGGCACACCAACCCCTGTTCTGCTCTCTCACTCGTGGTTCGCAGTTTTGCCGTGTCATCCATCTCACCCATGATGCGATAACCGTCCTGACATGTCCCCTATCTTGCCACGCCAATTGCAGCATCTCCATGAACCTGAGGGATGCAGACACTGGCAAGCTCTTATGGCAGGAGAGCGAGGATCTGTACGTTCCAATTCAGCACTGCCTGCTGCATGTCTTGTATGTCTGTGCGCGGTTGCTTTTTGCCTAGTGGAGTAGGACTTGTGTGACTGGGACTTCTCGCGTGTATGTCCCCGAAAACGCGCCAAGCACCGGCTTGCTCATCCTCGCGCCATGTATTGTTCTTCAATCTTACGCAGGTCAAAGCCCGACACGGAGCACGAAGGTACTTGACACTTGCTTTTCGCTCCACATGCCACCCACTTCTGCCTGTTTGTATCTTATTCGCCAACTTGTGTGCCTGTGTGTGTGTGCCTGTGTGTGTGTGTGTGTTGTGTGTGTGTGCCTCTGTGTGTGTGTGTGTGTGTGTGTGGGTGTGTGTGTGGGTGTGTGGTGTGTGGTGGTGGTGTGTGTGTGTGTGTGTGTGGTGGTGGT